ATATATATATATATGTATACAGTGTTCTCCCAACTGAAAAATTTTTACTGGTAAATTTGTCCATAAAAAATTGCAATGCGCACAATGTGAGGTACGTTACCCCTTTTTAGTTGGGTTAAATGACTTGAAGACACAACAAATATTCATAGTGTAGATATAGACTGGAATGATGTTAATTTATTAAAAGGGCCAGTCTGGACTACCTAAGCCTAATCAATAGTTTTTTTTATTTTACAAACTCAACATTTTTACTGGTTGGTTGGTTATTTTTACCGGTAAAATTGACGGCTAAGACGGCTTCGGGAGAACACTGGTATATGTATATGTATATATATATGTATATATATACTTAACAAAAGAAGATGTCATACTGACTGTGAATTACCAAAAATATATTTCACAAATCGATTATTTTTTGGATCTAATTATTATACAATTTAATGAATTTCCACCTCTTATTATTTTCTTTTTCTTTTTGTTTCAAACTTTACCATGGAAAAAATACTTTGTAAAAAAGAAGGCTTTAATTTTGACAAAAGTGTTATATATGTATATATTAGTTACCCGTATTTTATTTGAAATGTCATATAGATTAAAGATGGAAAAATGAATGAAAACAATTAAAAAAAAGAGTGACAGTAAAGGTGGGTGACTCCCACGAAAGACAAAAAAAAATTATACACAATCAGTTAGTGAGTAGTTGAATTTCATTTCTTAATATTTGCTTGTTTAGATCCACCTGAACTAATTTTATCCGTATTAACCTATGATGCAGGTAGTAAAAACAGTCATTACTCTTCATCTTGTATTTTTATACATAATTCAGATCCGGAAAGAGTAATATTATTTGAGACTGCATCCAACACCAGCAGTGTAAGTGCAGAATGGACAATCATAGATGGCGTTGCTGATTATTTTGAAGTAAATTGTTCAGATGGAAGGCCAGCACGTCAACGAACGTTGTTTAGTGAAGCCTTTACTGCTACTTGCTCAGGTATTGAGTCTGGAAAAACAGTAAACATAAGTGTGACTGCAATGAGTGGAAAGAAAAGAGGAGAGACAATGACACTCGCCATCACAACATGTAAGTAAAATATTAGTAGTTCAAAATTCGCAAAATTATACACAATCAATTAGCGAGTAGCTGAATTTCATTTCTTAATATGGTTTGTTTAGATCCACCTGAACTAATTTTATTCGTAGTAGCCTATTAGTAAAAACAGTCATTGCTCTTCATCTTATATTTTTATACATATTGCAGATCCAGAAAGAGTAAAATTATTTGAGACTGTATCCAACACCAGCAGTGTAAGTGCAGAATGGACAATCATAGATGGCGTAGCTGATTATTTTGAAGTAAATTGTTCAGATGGAAGGCCAGCACATCAACGAATGTTGTTTAGTGATGCCTTCACTGCTACTTGCTCAGGTATTGAGTCTGGACGAACAGTAAACACATGTGTGACTGCAATGAGTGGAAAGAAAAGAGGAGAAACAATGACACTCGCCATCACAACATGTAAG